AAGAATTTAGCTTTCAAAAGCCACCAAGAATGCAGAGACCGTGTCCAACAGTCAGAGGGAATCGGCGCACTCTCTGAGCCTTTCTGTTGTTGTAAAAAATAAAACAGAGGAGTTAAGACTCAGGGGGACCGGGCACAACTCGTTTGCTTTTTTAAAAACGGAAACGGCAACCCTGAACTTCAGTGTTTGGGTTCCAAAAGTCGGTGGCATGGCCAGATGCAGGAAGGAAATAAGGAGGCATCTTAAAAAAGAATATAAGGACGTCTGGATTTAAATGCATCTATACACATCCTCACGCAGAAGCCAATCCAATTCAATCCAAGGGGGTTCCTACGTGTATTACATCCACACAACCCCCATAATAAATTATCATCCGAATTTAAGGGTCTTTTGAAAGAGTTTTTCCAGGTGGCACTGAAACCATTTCTCTTGCCCCAAAACCTCCCAGTTCAGGGAAAGAAAAACGATTTGACTTTTAATAGGAATATGATTTGCTAACAAATGACTCTTATTTACAACACACTATTTGGGGGGCCAAATCTGGCTTCCTATGCAGTAGTTTTGTAGAAAACTAACACATTCTACCAAAAAATGGCTTGATGCTTGAAAAAGACTGCTGTGCAATCTTTTACAGGGATACACAAACACCCACCACATGTATACATGTGGAGAGTAAAATACTCATGTGTCAAATAAAAGCTAATTATCTTAATCTCTGGGCGCACTTGGTTGCATAAAGTTATCCACAGAATCGTTCCAACTGCTGCTTATCTTTGATCAATCCTTCATCTGTGGAGACTATTTTAACTATGACTTCTCATTAAAGCCTCATAAAAGCCTATCTATTTTGTATACCCCTCAAGGCTGGGGTTTACTTTTGAGAAAATGCCAATACAAGGCTGCAGCTGTTCTTGTTCCCATTTTGCAGATGGGCAACTGAGGCCAAGGACCTCACTGGTTTCAGATAGCCAAATGAAAACCAAAGTTAAATCCACCAGCTCAGTTTGATTATAGAAAGCAAAAACAGAGAAGCAGCTCCAAACCAGGATGTGCTTCCTTATATGCCTGAAAACATCAAATAGGGCCTGGTTTCTCAATGGAGTCTAGCGTAGCTCTCAGTTTCTCTGCCATAGCCGAACTCAGGCCAAGGAATGTGCAAAGAGCCTTCTTCTCTAACTGCTCCTCTCTAATTCAGCGCATCACTGTGTTCAACCAGACGCATGTGTAAATGTCACAGGTTGAGCATAAACTCAAGTCTTCTCCTGTTTTGCCTTTCACAAACGTTATCAAGAGAAGTTGGTTTTCTCCACTACTGAAGATAAAATATAGTCATCATGATCAGCAGCCTCATCCTTGAAGGTATTTTCTCTATATCCTTCTTTATAGGGCCCATTACCAGATCTTGTGGCCGTGAGTTCTGCAAGCCTTTCCAGTTTATTTCTGCTCTGCTCAGACCCTGCTCCTCTGTCCCTCTGGGACTCTGATTCAAATTCCTGCAAGCCCAGCTCTGAAAACATTTAGGTCCTCAAAACAAACCAAGATAAACTCTAATGGGAAAGCTTCTGCATCAACTCTGAAGAACCAGCGATGAATATTAACAATGCTAGTTTCTCAGGTTAAAAAAGCAACGTTAGAAAGAAGTAAAATTTATCCTTTCCCCCCCTTTTTATTCATGTCATTTCATAAATATTCATTCTCTTCCTCCCAGGGTTAATCTCATAGGTGATCCCAACCAATCAGGGATCCTGTACATCCGTATGGTGCAGTGGTTACAGAATCTGCCAATTCCCAGATACATCTGGAGGGCAAAAGGTTAGGGAATGTTGGTTTGCAGTGTCAGACTGGCAGGAAGGAGATCTCAGATCCAATTCTCTCTCTATGAAGTTGACTAGATGGCTTGAAGCCAACCTATTCCACTTAGGTTAACCTATCTTCGTGACCTGCTCTGAAGATAAAATGTGGGGAAGCGGAAAAAAAGAACACACTGCATATCTTTGGCTCTGCACAACAAAAATGGCTATAAACTGAAAACAAACCCAGCAAATAGGACTATGCCAGGCCCACATGGAACAGGGGGAGAGGATCATTTAAACCTATGCATGCAATAAACATCAGAAGACTTTGGGGACGTTGTTAAAAGCAACTGCAATTGAACAATAAAGTCAGTAACTTTGGAGTGGGAAGAATGAAGAGATCCAAGTTGGCAATTTCAGAGGACGTGCTCCATTCTTACGTCTCTCTTCCTCTACCGCAACTGCCAATCTTGCCTTCAGAGCGAATTCGCCCCATCGGATAGGAAAAAAAATGGGATTTGTTGATACGCATGCAAGAAAGCCTCTCAGGGTCCCATGCCAGTTTGTCCCCTCGTGTGTTGCTCTCAGTTAAGATGAACAAGAACCTCATCCTTGCCCGCCAAGACGATGGCACCTTACTGGGGAATTTTGTATCTCTCCGAGGACGAGGAGCCACAGAGAAAGGTGGCAATGAGGTTAAGGAACAAAATTCTACTCGGTGCCACCTGGAAGAGCAGGGAGGGGAGGAAACCCCCCAAATCCTGCAATTAAAGAGGAATAAATGATGAACATGGGAATGGTTTTATTTGCAGATGGATTCTTCTCTTGCACTTCCCTGATGTGAAGCTAAGGACAACAATGATTAAGATTCCTACTGCTATCATTATTATTCCTATTCCTTCTCCTCTATTGACTCAGCTGAGAAACCCAAATTCTGTTCCACCTTTCTCCTTCCCGGGTGGTCATCAGAACAGCTCTGCAGCAAATCGAGCCAGAATTTTTTGGGGTGGGGTGGGACATCCTCCCCTCTTCTCCCTATCCCCCGTTTACCTTCTACGAATCGCACCGCGAATTCCAGATCAATCATTTCAGGGCAGGGACTATATTAGAGATTCATTTCTTTTAGATGTAGGAACGCTTGAAGGAGATAACCAACATCTGGATGTTGCTCGGTTACAGAAAACGGTTCTGCTTGCAGAAACAAAGAGCCAGCCGGATGGGCTAAACTATTGAATCACTGGACTGGAAGGATAGAGCAGATAATTTAATTTAGCCTCCCCCGGTGTGGATTTTTATTACCCAGGCAATGTTGGACGCCGCTTAACCGTACGCATCCCTTCTCTCCAGCAAACGTACATTGCGATCTCATCCTGCAAAGAGTCAACCAAACCGGGCTCAGGAGATCGTCGGCTACCAGAGGGCTGCGAGGACCCCGAGGGCCACAAGAGGGCAGCTGAGAGTTGGCATTCCTTGGGTCTCTCTCCTGCCCTCTAAGGGTGGACTAGATTTTTGCAACACGGATTCGGTCGCCCTAGATGAAGAGCCAATCTCTCCATGCCGGGTGAGAGGGTGGCCTTAGCCGCACGCGGTCTTACTCCGTGATTAAGAGATGCCGGTAATACGTCCGGGTCCCTGGTGGGCTGGGCTGGGCTGAGCGAGATACAGCTAAGCGTTGCATCAGAGATCTTAAGAACACCTCAATCATTGACAGCCGCTCCAAGAGCAATCGATGGAGCAATTAGATTTTATCAGCGCCGGCTCTCTCCAGCCTCCTCCTCTCTTCCATGTGCTCACGAGGCATTATAGCTACGGGGGGCGGGGGCGCGCATTCTGGCCTAGGAGACTGTTTTCCATTTGCAGTCTGGGTTTTTTGGGGCGGGGTGGGGTTAATGATGCCAAAGATAATTGGAGTCAAAAGCGATCCGAGTCCTTGGCAAGCTGGACGCTTGCGCAATTAGCCGGATGCACTTTTAAAACCCAAAACGGAGCAGGGAGACCATCCACGGCCGTGGCTCGGAGGCAGCCCTGCTAATTTCCTGAAAAATAAAGAGCCGTCTTGCAACCAAGCACCATTGGCTCGGATGCGTGCGGCAGGCGCCGAGGCCACCCCACCACCTGGGTTTCACACTGGCCTTCCTCCAGGCCCCCTTTTTAAAGTGATCGTTCCCTTACAGCCTCCCCACAACCCAGAAGAGCCGCAGGACAGGGGAGAAGATGCAGGGAGGGGCGCCTTTTCCAACCTAATACTTGTAAAAAAAAAAAACAGGAGGGTTGAAATCTGGAGAGCGAAGAGAGAGAACGCACGCTGCAAGCTTCAAAGGGGGTTCCTCCACCCTCTGGATTCAACCCGTCCCCCTCCCCGACCCTCAAAAGCAAAAGGAAGGGGAGGACGTGCAATGCATCAATTCAGAATGCATTTTGGGGTTTTGAGAAGCCTGGCTTGTGGCACGAAACAAAACAGACCTCGATCCAGCCTTGAGCATTTGGCAGGATGTGGCATTCTTGTTGGGCCAAAATCTGTTCCATTTGCACAATTTAAAAAAAAAGGGGGGGTCCTTCCGCCATTCTCGATCGTGGCTTTTTTCAAAGTTTCAAATTCCTTCTCAACCACTCAATCAACAGCTCCCTCGTGCCTTCCTACAGGGTGCTGGCAAAATGTAGAACCGAATGTTTAAAAAAAAAAACAGGGTAAAATAAATAAATTAAATATGACCCTGGACCAGCCTGTCTGGGTGTCTCTCTCGGGTCTCAGCATCCTGCCTCTTTTGCCCAGCTTTGTGGGGAAGCTGCCGGGCACGCCACCCAGCCGAGCTGAAGGGCACCTTGCTTGTGGAATCAATGCGCCGCCCACCCAGGGGAGAAAGAGCACAACCTTTCCTTCTCTTCCCCTCGCCCCCCAATTCTGCGGCACGACAAGCCACACTCTGTTGAAGCTCTGAAAAGGTCAGACCACAGCAGAAGGTGCAAATGAGGGCGGGCAGGGAGCCGCACGATCCGCTTTTGATTAATGAAATTACACATCCAACCGAGCTCTCTTTCCGCGCCGCTGCCTGCAAAACTCCCCCAGAGAGGTTGCTCAGCTTCTCCGGCGCGGCAGGTGGCCGAGCCCGGGAGGGGATTCCAACAGCCGAGCCCGCCACGTCTCCCCACCCGGGCAATTCACATGCACACGGAGCAGACCCGGCCGTGTTCCTCCGTGCCGCTTACCTGCCGCTCCCAGGCCGACCTCGACGCTGCTTCTTTTGAACTCACAGCGGCTCTGCGTCTCGGGCATGCCGAGCTGGCGGCTCTGGTGGAGGCTGGAGAGGAAGGAGGTGAGATCACTGTTTTGGCTGTGAAAGAGAGAGGGGAGAAATGGGCTCACATCAGCATCCAGAGCTCCTCTTTGGGGGTGTCTGGTCCCCACCACCTTCCCCGCTGGCCCCCCAGGATTAACTAAGCGCTGCGTTGCAAGTCTCCTTCCCCCCCTCTGCTTCTTATGTCCTTACGCATCTCCTTCTTTTGCATGGCCTGTTTTTAATTTCATTGCACAACTGAATCCTGCGTTTAAAAAAAAGCAGGGATTTGCTCGAACGGCGCGCATGTGGACGGGAGACGGAGGCGCCGTGCTTTCCTGCCCATTTCTAGGGAATGGCGAGTTATGAAGGCTCTTCCTCCCAGCGCTCTCAGACCTCTTGTCAAGGGAAATCCACTTGCTGCAAACTCCTTGACTTAGAGAAGGCAGAGGAATTGTAGACTGTGGATTTGGGGGAGCGCTTCTGGAATCAGAGGGTCCTCTCACAACCCTCATATTCAGGCTCTTCCCCTTTCCAAAACGTTAAATCAATAACCCACAGGGAGAAACAAACAGAGAAAAAGGAGGAGGAAGGAACACAGAGCTACTCTTCCCATCCTGGTTCCCATCCAGATGTTTCAAGCCACATCTTTCCCATGCTGCTTGGGGATGATGGGAACTGTAGTCCAAGCGTTCCGCCCCTTCTGGAGGAGCAGAAGAATCCACAGGGGGAAAAAACCCGAGTGGCTTGGAGAGGTAGGGAAACGCGTCCTCCAGGTGTTCGTTTATTTTATTTATTTATTAAACGGATCTAGAGGCCAATTCCCAATGACTCAGGGCAGTTCACAAGTAAAATAAAAGTACTAAAGCAAACGAACAAGAAAAAAATCCTGCATTTTTTTTTTTTAAAAAAAAAGAACCATCCACGGAGGAAGTCAAACCAAAGTATTTTTTTAAAAAACCAAGTTACTTGCAAAGCGGAGCCGCTGTTTGTAATCTGTCCCTGTAGTTAAGTTGAATTTGCACAGTCCTCTGCATTTTCAAACACCCTGCGCAAGACGTGGTTGTTTAAGGGGAAACAACAACAACAAGAAATGAGGTGCCTATACAAATATCCCAAGGTGAACAAGGGTAGAAATTCACTGAGATGGTCGCAGCTGAAAAACCTCATCACACCCGTCAAAACTGTCACTCAAATGGCATTCCGTGCTCTTGCATACCCAGCACTCATTACGGCGATGATTCATCATTTCAAAATCAACAAGTATTTGCTAAAGACCACGCTGAAATCAAAAGACCATCCCTTCCTGCAAACGTCCACTATAATGGAGCAGAAAAAAGCAGGCAGGCAAGCAATTCCAAGACATGCACCTTTTCAACCCGTACAATAAAAAGGATGGCCTATTTGCCGGTCCCGGTGAGAAAGTCAAAGCTCCAAAGCTTGCCAAATATGAATTAGGACCGGCTCAAATCCGTAAGCTTCTAAGTTTTCCAGAACCCCTTCATCAGACGGGGTTTCGTTTGACGGAGATGGGGAAGAGGCAAGGATTTGCAAATGGAAAACCCTCTGCACCCCAAGACACAGCCCACAGCCATCTACTCACTTGATCTAGAGTGGGATGAGAAGTATACTTGGAACAGCACCTTTTCTAAGTCCTCTGTTTTAAACAGCACTCCCCCCTGCAGACACAACACACCCACAAGCACACTGCATCCTGACCACAGTTTGGGAGAAAGGACACATCTCCCATTCAGCACCCCGCTTAATCGGTCATCAGCTTTACGACTGTGAACTTGGACATCGCAATGCTCACCAGTTGATTTTCATCCCAACTGCCCAACGCCCCTCAAGAAGTCACCTGCGGACTTCCACAGGTATTCCCCCCGCCCCTTAACATCCTTCCCCATGCCCGATCTCACCACCCCCTTTTCCACCAGCCAAGGCAAACCAAGCGTACGCTGAAGGGTTACCACTCCCGGACTAATTCTCAGGTGAGAAGGCAGCTGGTTTATGGATTGAGTCGCATTCCAGAAGGCCAGTAATTCTAAAGCTTACAGTAGCCTAGATGCACCTCGGAGGTGTATTAGGCACAATATCTGCAAAGGAGTTTAGAGGATTAATTTGAGGCGATTATCGGTTCCTGTTAATCATGCAAATCAATACCTCTGCAGTCCTGGGATAGAGGGCAGCTAAAAGCTGTCATCAACATAAGAGGAAAGGAGGAGGGCGGGACAGACGTAGTGCATGTGCTAGCAAGTTTCGCTCCCATCCTGATCGAAAATATGTCTATGGTTATTTGGGCTTATATGCATTAACCATGGTGCAGCGTTATAGGGTGGTTGGACAACCTAGCTCCTGTTCTAAGAGAGGGGCAAAGAGGGCTGGGTCCCTCAAGGAGGTGGAGGGCCATGGAGGTCACACCTTCAGAGCATCCCACCTTCAGAGCAGCAGGTGGGAGGATGAGATGGTCAATTCTCAGAGGTCTTCTTAGAATTAAAAGATACATACACACGCTCCTCAAAGACTCTTGGTAACGTGAAAAAAAATCCCTATGAATAGAAAGGCCCTATGGAGCCAACGAGGCCATCAACAGAACAGAGAGATGACCCTGAAGAAAATCCATGGCTTCTGCTAGGAAAACACAACCTTACCCCGGGAAAACAGGAAAGGATGAGAAAGAAACTCAAGATTGCCCCACTTTAACTCTTTTTTGCATAAGAGGGAGGAAAGGAGAAATGCTGTCAGGCTTTCAAGATTCTGTTATTATAACCTATATTAATAAAGTAGAGTTCTGGTGTTTTTGTGGTATCTGTTTCCTGACCTGGTCTACCTCAAAAGGCTGGCACCCTCTTCATTCTCAACTTGAGGATCAATGTGTCTGTGTGTGCTTGATTTAAGTGTCCAAAATCCACATTTCTCCTGACAAGTTGAGAAGACAGTAATTCAACCTATCAATGTTGGCCAGGCTCTGAAATTTGGGAGATGGAAGAACATCACCTCCATTTCTGGTCTCCAAACATTCCCTGCGTTTCTCTTCTTCCACATGATGGAGGGGAATTTTCTTCTCCATCTACCTACTGAATTTCCATACCTGACGCAGAGGAGCGATAAACAGATTCTTCCCTTATTCTTTTATTCGCCTGCAAGTGACCTCTGGTCACCTTTGGAGACCAGCAAGTGATTAAACACAAGACAGTAACCATTTTGGTAAGGAATCCTCTATTTTACCACCAAGAAACGCTGAGAAAGCTCAAATGCAAAGCTAGCGGTTTCCAAACTGGGAAACATTTTCAAGAAACGCCTTCAACTAATTCTAAGGTGCCAGTCCTCAGTGTTATGAGCAACAGCGCACATGCAGTATGAAGACAGCTTCAGAGCTAAGCCAGGAAGCTTCAGAATGACCACACTCAAGACTCACTTGAAATCCCTGCAAGGAAGATCCTCCTGAAGAAGAAAGCATGCATTTCTCCCTGCCTTTTTACCAAATTCACCCCGAAACTCAAACCTGAAACTCTTCCTGCTACCGAACATTGCAAACTTTTTTTTTTTTCCCAAAGTCAGAGGGCTCTTTGCTGGTCGGACACCCCCTCCCTCAGGCCAGCACTCATGCACAAAATCAGATTAGCTGTCTGAACCTTCTAGAGGTATAACATAATATATATATATATATGTATTTTTAAAACCGGATTAGAAGCAAGCTCGCAAAAGGGAGAGCGTGCAAGTGATAAGAATCTCTTGAGAAGCTGAAGAACGGAAAGATAATCCCGTGAAGGACTGAAGCGCATTTTCGACTGTGGTCCACCTTTAACTAATTAATGCCCTGAGAAGGTTTGGCGAAGGCAGGTGGGGTGGGATTCAAGAGGAGCACCATCTCCTGGTTGGAAATGCACCCAGATCAAGGCGTAAACCGCTCCCCCCAAGAGTTTTACCAACAAGGAATGGTTTCTACATTGCATTAAATCAGCAACAGTTTAGGAAGACGGGAAACGACTGGAAAAACTGCTTCTGCAAGACGGTTCTCCCGCTTAAGGCCACCCCACTGGCCGTCTTAAAGCTGTGCATTCCCTCCCGTGGCTCATTTTGACCCCCGTGCCCAATTTTTACTGTTCTGAGTTATTTGCTTTTTCCTCTGAAGACTTCTGCGTACGTATGTGCCTGCAAACTTCCTTGTTCCTATAAATCTACCGAGACTCCCTTTGCACATGGCTGATGCTGTTTGGGCTACATCAAGACACTTGTAACCGCCAGATGTTGGGGTTACGACTTCCAGATGTGCTGGTTGAGGGCTGCAGGGATTACCGCGCGGGGATGGGGAAAATCTACGGTTCCAATCCATTTCGAAGCCCTCGATCCACTGAAGTCCACCAGAAGGTTCTGGACCGGCCAAAATAATTCCTACTTTTTGTGTATAAAAACTCAGAAGCAAAATCTCACGCCCACCCCACACAAAAATCACTAAAAGCAGAAATTGCATGCATATATATATATATATATATATATATATATATATATATATATATATATATATATATATATATATATATATATATATATATATATATATATATATATATATATATATATATATATATATATATATATATATATATATATATATATATATATATATATATATATATATATATATATATATATATATATATATATATATATATATATATATATATATATATATATATATATATATATATATATATATATATATATATATATATATATATATATATATATATATATATATATATATATATATATATATATATATATATATATATATATATATATATATATATATATATATATATATATATATATATACATACAAACACACAAACAAAGGTAACCAAATTACAAGGAAAAGCACAGGTCCTTATTTATTTATTTATCCTATAAATTTACGCAGCTGCCTTTCTTACTTAAAGGGGGGGGGCAAGGCTAACAAGAAACATACATAGAGGAAATAAACGAGACACCCAGTCCAAAAAAAAAAAAATAAATAAGCTCAGTCGTATAAATTGGATTAATACATAAATATT